AAATATGGGAGAACAAGGAACCGGCTTAGGAAAGAGATAATTTGTTAAAAGTAGGAAGATACGTGTCTGAGAGAAACTCTGTGTCACTTTGTTTATTTAATCCGTTCTTTTGTTTAATGATATCTCTGATGTTAATCTTTTGTAGTAATGTACCTCTCATTGTCTAGTATTTGGACATTCTCCCAATTAAATATATATGATTCTCTTTTTCTCTGTGAATCGAAATCACTGACGGAGAGCCATTAGTTTTTTAAATGTCTGATATGTGTTCATAGATTCTTGTTTTTAACTGCCTTTTTGTTTGGCTACATACGAGGCGTCGCAGTCCAAGCACGAAATCTTATAAACCACATTGTGAGACATAGGATTTAGAGAATCTTTTTCAGTTTTAATGAAGTTCTTTAGATTATTAGGGATCGAAAACGCTGTTTTTATGTTACATTCATTCATAATCGGTAAGATTCATTCAAAGATGTTCCGAATGTACGAGAACGTAAAACGTTTTTTAGTGACTGACGGGCGTCTCTCAGTGTCGGGTGTTTCATCCTGTGGAACAGACATTTTACTTTTTAGTCTAGCAATGGATATTAGAAAAAATAAAAACTAGTGGGTAACCTGTCTGCTGTGGTTTACCTGTCTGATTAACGTTCCGCATAACATCTGATCGTTTTTATACTAGACTCAAGGTACTGTTCTTACACTTGTTGTCGTACTGTAACTCTTGATTAATTATGTGATTGTGAAGGGATTCTCTACTATTTTAGACATGTATATTGAATTATTTTGACTACTCGACCTAACAAATTCAGGACTGTTTGTAAGTTTCCTATGATAAGATTTAAATCTATTCTTACATATGGAAACAGAGACAAAAAACTCAATGTACCGAATCACATTATACTACGATCTTTCAACGAGCGATCTCACCGCGAGCGATTTTTACTACAAGCGAACTTACAGCTAACGAGCGACTTTTATGTAATGTATTAAGAAATTTTGTATTTTTCACCCACTGAGGATGGCTCAATGCGGGGACGAAACGTTTGGGTGCTAATTTTTATTCTAAATATACCTGATATCACAGCACTAACTCCGTGCAAGGCTCATTAGCCCTTTTTTTGATACTTTGTTTACTACAATAATGTTTATTTTCATTAATATGTACTTTTGGAATTATGAGGCTTGAAAATTACAGTACCAACATGCACTATAAGCAATTAGCATTAAGACCCATCTGCATAAGTCGCAAACGCAAAACGCAAACGCGGACGTTTCTCTCTTTCTTTTCTTTTTTTTTTCTCCGCCTTTGCATTTGCGTTGTGCGTTTGCAATTTATGTAGATGGGGCTTTACCCAAAAGATGTATACCACACGAAGGTGGTAGAGGTTGCTCAGTCGGATTGATTTACACCTCTTTTGTTTTGGCGTGTGTGTTTTTAACAAAAATTGATTAGTTTCTAATAAAGAATTATTTGCATAAGAGAAATTTCAAAATTGTTTATTTTTTAACAAAAAATCAAAGTCAAATAATATTTTTTTACACACACACTCACATGCATATACGACAAAAGAGGTGTAAATCCGATCTGGTCGAGCAACGTTCCGCGTGGTACATCTTGGATAATATCGAAGATACTGTAACTTTCAAGCGATCATAACTCGATCATAACTCAATAAGTATTGTAATAATAATTCACCTCGATCATAACTCAATAAGTATGTAATAATAATAAATATCATTATAATGTTTTGAAAAGCTCTCAATACCAACTATTAGATTCTGGAATCAAAAATAGGGTGTTTTATTTGAAAAAATCAATGTGTCCTTGATTCTTGGTAACGCCACCCAAAGACAAACTGATTAGATCAGTAAATAGATCTTTTTAAATCTTATAACTTTTATCTGAAACATTTTGTTGTCAATCCATCGGAAGTATCTCAAAAATCATGACGACCATTTCATGTAACACCCTGTATAATATTTTTATACATATTATAGAAATATTTATTAATACATACTTCCTTTTCCTTTGCCATTGCTTGTAAATCCGTTGCAAGCTCAGCAGCAGTTTCAACATTCTGCATAAATAAGAAAAAAATTATTCATGTATAAAAATGAGATTTTTCGATAAAGAAACACATACCTTTTTTCCTATCTCTCTTTCTTTATGAACTGTCTTAAATTTGTCAACGAGAGACAAATATTGTTCGTGTAAAAGGGATATTTCCGAATCTCCCAGATACTCAGACGGAATTTCAACCTAATAAATATTTTTCTTTAGAAATTTATAAATTTCTGCTGTTCCATTAATCACTTTTTCTACCAATAATTTTGTAATTTATACAAATATTTGTATATCGTAAAGCAATTAACTTCGATATTTCTTTTTACCTTGACAAGAAATTGTGACAGATACGCTCTTTTTTTAACTATGTCGATATTCTTCAAAAGCCACGTCAATATAGGATGGATAATTTCGACTTCACCTCGAACTAAACCTTGTCTAAATAAAGAACAACGTTAGCAATAATTTGCACTTCGCACTTTTTAAAAATGGATTTATAGTACGTGCGTGCGTGTGATAAAAATTATTTAGTTAATTATATTTAGTATTGTATTTTAATAAAATATTTAAAATTTTAAAAATGCAGAAAAATTTATACAGAACAATTACAAATTACAATTATAAACTCTTATTAATTGTTAAAAACTAACTTCTTTCGAGTATATATATAAGGAAAATATTATAGTTATTTCTATATAATAGGGGAGACCGGGGCTGGTTGATACAATTTTTTTTTTAATTTTTTCACATGTAACTAATAAATCAAATAAATACCGCAAAGATATTTTTCAATAGCCACATGCTTCAATAACATAGAATTTATTTTTATAATTTTTATAATTTATAATAATATAATTAATTTTAATGAGCATTGCGATGTTATCACATGCCTCGGTGGTCTAAAGGACGCCCGTCCGGCAAACGTGGAGATCCGATTACGATTCCTGGCTGAGCACATGAGTTGATATTTTTTCAATAAATTCTTTACAGATTCGTATAGATGCAAGTTAGCATCAATTTGATGTCGCGAAGGGGTTTTCACAGGGTTTAAATAGATGCTTTGAGCATCGATTTATTAGATTGTCTTTATTTAATTTGTGATATTACATACTACTTGGTTCGGAGCTGCGAAGATGCGCGCAATTTGCGACCACGTAGTGTTATATGAACCGAAAAATTTTAAGATTCACACAAAAA